ATGTATGTATGTATGTATGTATGTATGTATGTATGTATGTATGTATGTATGTATGTATGTATGTATGTACGTATGTATGTATGTATTGGACTCAATTAGGCTCACAAGTCGGGCTTCATTGGGATCGAGTTCGGCTTGATTAACAAACAAAAAGATGAATAATAAAGTCACCCACATGGTTGCCATGGTAGAAACTCAAACATATTTTATTTTACATACGAAAAATAAGAATTATAAAAATCATTTATTGTATATATAATAATGCATGTATGAATGTATGTATGTATGTATGTTTGTATGTATGTATGTATGCATGTATGCATGTATGAATGTATGAATGTATGTATGTATGTATGTATGTATGTATGTATGTATGTATGTATGTATGTATGTATGTATGTATGTATGTATGTATTGGATTCAATTAGGCTCATAAGTCGGGCTTCATTGGGATCGAGTTCGACTTGATTAACAAACAAAAAGATGAGGAATAATAAAGTCATCCACATGGTTGCCATGGTAGAAACTCAAACTTCATGTTTTGTCTGTGGGGGATTGGATCACTTAGCTCAAGATTGCCCAACCTATGGTGAGATGAGAGAAGTTTATGAAGAACAGTGTAATGCCTTAGGAATGTATAAGAAACCTTTCTCACCCGATTCAGAGACCTATAACCCTASCTGAAGGAACCATCCCAATTTTAGTTGGAAAGCTGATCAAAACCAACCCACACCGTCCAACAATAATTGGAGTGTAGAGGCGCAACCATCCAGACTTTATCCTGCACCTCAATACAATGCTCGACCGAATAAGAATCCTTTAGAGGAAACCCTTCAAGCATTTGTGGAGGCACAAAATAAGACTAACCAAAATTTTGAATCTGTTCTTGCGCAGGTGGTTAAAGAGAACAAGGATATCAAGAGTCAGATAACTAAGCTTACCAATGCTCTTACTATACAAGAGAGAGGCAAAATTCCATCTCAGCCTCAAACCAATCTGAAGGGGTCACATATGGTACAGGAATCCACCTCTGATTTGGAGAACACCAAGGGGTCCACGCCATCACTACTTCCAATGGTAAGGTTTTAGATAGGCCTTTGCTGAGCCCACCTCGCACAAGTGTCACCACTTGGAGTAGAACTGAAAATGCCCCCTCAAAAGAGCCAGAAAAGGAGTTTACGGTCCAAGTTCGTTTTCCCCAAGCTCTCAAATCTGGAGGAAAAGTTTCAGACAACCAAGGTGAGATTTTGGAACATTTCAAAGAAATTAAGATTAATTTACCTTTGTTGCATGTGATTAAGTAAGTACCGGCTTATGCCAAGGTGATCAAGGATCTATGCACCATGAAAAGGAAACACCATGTCAAGAAAACTACATTTTTGACAGAACAGGTAAGTGTGGTGATTGAGTAGAGAACGCCGCCAGGGTGCCCCAAAATTGCCTACCATATTGGGATACAAGAGTTCGGTCAAGCTCTCTTGGACTTAAGAGCAAGTATAAATTTAATGCCTTATTCAGATTACTTGAAATTAGGTCTTTGAGAGATAAAACCCACATCCATGGTGTTACAGCTGACTAACCGTTCTATTTGGAAACCGAGGGGGGTAGTAGAAGACRTTTTGCTTCATATTGATAAGTCCTATTATCCTGTTGATTTTCTGGTTCTAGATATTCAATTGTAATTGATAGTGAGTCGACGATTCCGCTTATTTTAGGATGGCCATTCCTTGCTACAACCAATGCTCTTATTAATTGGAGGAATGGTTTGATGAAACTTTCATTTGGGAATTTGACTCTTGAAGTGAACATTTTTCATGTTGGGAAGCAGCCCCGAGACGAGGACAAGTGCTATCATACCTACATGATAGACTCTCTCATTGCAGAGGAAGTAGATGAAAGGGAAAATTCTAAATCTTTAGAATACCTCCTCTATGATTATGATTTGAATTATGAACTTTCATTTTATCTTGTTATTGATGTTTCTAATGTTTCCTCTATTTATAATGACATGTAGGATAAGTAGAAGAAGTTTTGGCAACCACACTTTGAGGAATTGTCRTGTGAGAAAGACCAGTCGAAGCCATCTTCTATAGAGACACCCAAAGTGGAATTATCCCCACTACCTGAAGGATTGAAACATGCATTTTTGGGACCAGGTGACACCTTTCTTGTTATAGTATCTTCTRAACTTAGTGCTAAGCAATATGAGAAATTGATAAATCTGTTAAGAGGACATAAGGCTGCACTAGGTTGGACTAGAGCTGATATTAAAGGTATAAGCCCACTGATATGTTCCCATAGGATTCATTTAGAAGAAGAAGATATCCCACATAGAGACCCCTGAAGAAGATTGAACCCAATGATAAAAAAAGTTGTTAAAAATGAGGTCTTAAAATTGTTAAATGTAGGAATCATATATCCTATATCTGACAGTAAATGGGTTAGCCCTACACAGGTTGTGCCAAAGAAATCAAGGGTCACAGTAGTTAACAATGAGTTCTTGTTCCTACTAGGGTAGTAACTGGGTGGTGCATGTGCATTAACTATAGAAAATTAAATATAACCACCCAGAAAGACCATTTTCCGTTGCCATTTATTGATCAAATCTTAGAACGTGTGGTTGGCCATCCTTTCTATTGCTTTCTTGATGGTTATTCAGGTTATTATCAGATTGAGATAGCTTTAGAAAGTCAGGATAAGACTACTTTTACATGTCCTTTTGGTACTTATGCTTTCCGTAGGATGCCATTTGGTTTATGTAATGTTCCAGCTACTTTTCAACGATGCATGCTTGGTGTGTTTTTTGATATGGTTGAAAAAGGCATGAAATTCTTTATGGATGATTTAACTGTTTTTGGTGATTCTTTTGTTTCWTGCCTACCTAACTTGAAAGTGGTTTTGACTAGGTGTGAAGAAAAAGGACTTGTGCTTAACTGGGAGAAATGTCATTTCATGGTGACTTCAAGTATTGTTTTGGGACACATCGTGTCTGAAAGAGGAATAGAGGTTGACAAGGCCAAAATGGAGTTGATCTCTAAATTACCCACACCTAAAATGGTAAGAGAAGTCTAGTCTTTTCTTGGACAAGTTAGTTTTTACAGGAGGTTCATACAGAATTTTTCTGCTATATCATGATCATTATGCAACCTCCTAGTCAAAGATGTTGAGTTCAATTGGACGCCAAAGTGTGAAGAAGCTCTTAGAACACTCATCACTAAGCTAACCACTGCACCAACCATGCAATCACCARATTGGAACCTTCCGTTTGAGATTATGTGTGATGCTAGTAACTATGCARTGGGAGCTATTTTAGGCCAACAAAGGGAGGGGAAGCCCTTTGTTATTTATTATGCTAATAGAACTTTTAATAGTGCTCAAAGGAATTATTCTACAATTGAAAAGGAGCTACTAGTTGTTGTTTTTGCTTTAGACAAATTCCATGCTTATCTCATTGGTTCACCTATTACTGTGTTTACTGACAATGCAACTCTTAAGCACCTTCTTTCTAAGAAGGATGCTAAGGCTCGCTTGATTAGGTGGATTTTTCTTTTGTAGGAATTTGATCTAATGATCAAGGATAAGAAGGGTGTTGAAAATGTAGTGGCTAATCATTTGTCTCGATTGGAGTTCAATAACTCTACTGATAATGACCCACCCATTATGATTTCCTTGACGTGCACTTGTTCACCGTTAGCCAAGTGTCATGGTATGCCCACATCGTTAATTACTTGGTTTCAGGTGAATTTCCATCGAACTGGAGTGCACAAGATAAGCGTAAGTTCTTGGTTGAGGTAAGAAAGTTTTATTGGGATGATCCTTATTTGTTTAAGTATTGCCCTAACCAAATCATGAGGCGTTGCATTCCAGATGGTGAGATTAATAGTGTCCTTAATTTTTGTCATTCTAAACTTGTGGTGGCCATTTTTCTATGAAGAAGACTACTGCAAAGGTTTTGCAAAGTGGTCTTTGCTGGCCTACTTTGTTTAAGGATATTAATGCTTTTTGTCGTTCTTGTGATAGGTGCCAGAAGCTAGGTACATTAACTCGTCGTCACATGATGCCCCTTAACCTCATCCTGGTTATTAAGATTTTTTATTGTTGGGGTATTGATTTCATGGGGTCATTTTCACCTTCTTTTGTCTATCTTTATATTCCTCTTGCTGTTAACCATGTGTCTAAATGGGTTGAAGTTGTGTCGTGTCGTACTAATGATAACAAAGTTGTTGTTAAGTTCTTGAAAGAAAATGTGTTATCTAGGTATGGTACGCCACATGTGATTATTAGTGATCAAGGGGCACATTTTTGTAATCGTTCTTTTGAATCTTTGATGCATAGGTACGGCGTTATTCACAAGGTGTCAACTGCTTACCATCCATAGACCAATGGGCAAGTTGAGTTAGCTAATAGGGAGGTCAAGCAAATTTTGGAAAAGACGGTCAACCTGAACCGCAAGGATTGGTCTTTATGCCTTTCTAATGCACTTTGGGCATACCGTATTGCTTATAAAACTGTCCTTGGGATGTCACCATACTGACTCATTTATGGGAAAGCGTGTCATTTATCTGTAGAGCTTGAGCATAAAGCTTATTGGACTGTCAAAGCACTTAATTTCGATTCAAATGTTGCAGATATTCAAAAGAAGTTACAGTTGTCAAAGATGAAAGAACTGAGGAACAATGCATATGATAATTCTAGGATCTACAAGGTTAAACTAAAAGTGGCTCATGATAAACAGATCCTAAGGAAGAATTTTGAGCCAAACCAATGGGTGCATCTTTATGATTCCCATTTGCATCTCCACCAAGGAAAGCTGAGATCTAGATGGAAAGGTCCATTTGTGGTGAAACAAGTCTTCCCCAGTGGTGTTGTTGAGATTGAGGATCCGACCGATGGGAGAGTTTTTCGAGTTAATGGACAACGGTTGAAGCATTATGTGGAAAGGGTAGACCAACCTGAGTAGCTCACTCTTGTAGCTCCAGTCTACAATGCTTAATTAGGTTCTATCTTTCTGCACTACCATTTTTATCTTTCTTTTCTTTTATTTGTTTTTGTTTTTCTTTTATTAGTTTTTATGTTTCCTTCTTCTAGTTGATAAATTTGCAGGTTTAGTCTCAGCCCGTCATTCAGGTGTCCTCTATCCTTTGCTCTGTTATTTCTTTTATTTTTATGCCAGTGAGGACACTATCTCGTTCAGGTTGGGGGTGGTAGCATTGCATGCACATTCTATGCCTACTTTTTACATACATTCTTCTTGTGTGAAAGAGAGACAACCAACACATTGCTTAATGTTTTTATTCTGGTAGTTTTTGTGTGAATAAGTTTGCATTGCATGTTTGAGAAGCTTAGATTGAATTTTCTGCTTTTCTATCTAGGTATGATTTCAAAATTGTTTGGTTTAAGTTACTTTTTTTATCTTGATTATCAAGGAATAACTTTTGAAAACTTTTTGCGCACAATATTAAGCTTTGTGGTTAGATGGATGTTCAATATATATAGCTAAGAGAATTGTCATGTTTAAGCACACATTTTTCTAGACACATATTTTGTGAGTGAGTGGAGAGTTGAGGAAACAACTTATGAACTTTCATTGATCTATTGAATTGGTTAGTTGCTGTTTAAAATGACATTACTTGGTTTGAGGAATGCTTGGATGATACGCTGAAGGATAATATTAGTCAATTTCCGAAAAAAAAGAGGGGGAGCTAGTTCGTGTTATGTTATGTGAAGCCTTTAGAATAACATGTGTAATATTAGTTATGTGAGAAACTCTGCACTTTCCCTACTTTGCATTATCAAAAAAAAAATTRAAGAAGAATACTCAGTACAATAAAGTCTTTCGTTAATTCAAAAGACAGACTTCTTTTCTTGGGGAACAATCTTTCTCACTAGGCTCAATTTCTATTTGTATTGCTCTCATATTTGACTAATTGAAATCCTGAAGCTAGTTTGAGGTAAGAATGGTGGAGTTCTCAACAACTAATTTTCCTATCTTCTGATCAATGATCATTTGTTTGTTTGTGCATAAATTCGGCCTTTTCTTTGAGTGATTATCTAATTTCCAACTCCATGAGAGAAATCCCTTGCCCTAAAACGGTTTACCTATGAGGATATGGAGTTGAGGGTTTTACTTTGATTAATTCTCAAGGCTATGTGTTGCGGTTTGTGGTATGAAGGATTTGCTTAGTTCACACACATTCACTTTTGGAAGTTATAATTGAAGTAATCTTGATAGCATTTGTGATCTTTTTTCAACATTTTTGTTTAAAATGCCTAAAAGGGAGCCAACTTCCAAAGGTTGTTTTGGCATTATTTTCTCAATATTTCACAGAAGAGAAAAGGAGAGAATGACGTCCAAGCGCGGCTAAAGCTTCAACAAGGCTAGGGAGGATCTTGATCGATGAGTTTTAGTTATTATTTTATTTTGATTCCTTGAGAGATTTCAATGTTTAATTTTGTTCTTGAAAGACTTCTTTTATTATCTTTTTGATAAACCCAAAGATTATATTCTTCATTTTCCATAAGATTAGTCATGCTCTTTTTATGTGCAATTTGTTAGAAAATAATTGATTGGGTAGATTTATTTTATGGGTTGATCATTTATTGCAATACTGTCGGTTTGATATATTGTCGTTCTTGGATAGCTTGTACGAATAGATCATTTTGTTCTTCATTGAAATTAATTTTCTCAGAACAAATACTTTTGGTCTTGTCGTTGGTTTTTAAAGTTATACTTTTCGATTGTTTGTTTGGGATGCAAAACTTGTAATTAAGTAATAAGTAGGAATCAAATTGAGAACAATTGAACAAATCAATCAAGTGAATCCTAAAGCCTTGTTCATCACAATACTACTTTTCATCCCGAAGCCTTGGTTTAATCAATTTCTTTGTGGATTCAACGCCTAAAGCTATGCTTCAACGACCACTTAACCAAGAGTAATAATTTTGGGCACGACAATAAGCAATCGGACTGGGCTATTTCCATAGGCCTACAAAAGGGGAGAGTCCCAAGATATATCCCCAGGGTGAGATCTCTCCAATGCTTAAGTCAGTGAGCAAGGGGTAACCGGGCCAAGCCAATGAGATTGGTTGGCAAGGAAAGATAGGAAGAAAGGAGTTGGGAAGTGGTGTATTGTGTATCTTTTATCCGAGGAGGTCATACCTATATATAGAAGAGATGTCAAAGGGAGATGAGTACCAGATCAGATAGGTAGTTGGGCCAGTTTAGGTCATTGGGAGCTCTCTAGCTTGAGCCAATTCCATGGGCTTCATCAGAAATATATCTTTTTAACATTGATCAACTTCGAGTGCAAAATTTGCATCCATTTACTTTATGCAAAATTTGCTATTATTTTGAATGCAAACAGGTCTTAAAATGTTTTTTGTTGTAATTTTCAAGACACGGAAACATCCTTACCAAACACTAGCAAAACTGAATCAGAGCGCAACTATGAACTGAATCCCATTTGCACTCTTCCTATGCAAAGCCCAAACTAACTCACATAAAGGAATGAAGAAACTGGATTCTTAAAGGCCTACCCATGTGGTTGGGAAAAGGCGTTGATGGTGATGATGGTTTTTTTAACGAATAAGTTATTTGATTTTCACATGTTTTTAATTCAAATCATTCAAAATCTTTCTTGATATAGAAATCTAAATAAATAGATGAAAACAAATTGTGTACAATAGGATTTCAACTATAGTTTTACAAGACCTCTGCCCTATCAGTTAAAAAAATGTATATAAAGTCAAAAAATACCAAATTTTTGTTAGAAATCTGAATTATTTGTTTATTATATATTTATTTTCCACGTTTTTCTATATTTTGAAAAATAAGAAATTCAGGACATTTTCTTCAAAAAAAAGCATTAATACATATAAATCACACGTATTATACATGAGTTTTCAAGCTTTGAGCCAAACGCAATGGGATCTACTGACAGTACAACATACAGCTGCACATCACGGACATCTCCAATCTCGAGTCAAACCGAGATTAAACACATATTTGTAATAATATAATAAAGATTAAGATTCCTTTCTTGAAAAGGGCAATAAGACAGGTTGAGAACAAGTGAACACTAATGGAGAAGCAAAGGCAAGGGAGAATGCTCATGCTTATGGGGACCCCATATGATTAATCATTATCAAAAGAAAAGCAGGAGATTTAGATGACTAAGAAAGGATGTAATAATGATTAAAAAAGGGGGTTAAGTGTCCCCTCCTTGATATCCCTAGAGAATATTGAGATTCCCGACTGTAAAACGCATCCTACAACTTGACCAAATCCAAATGTATGTTGCTTTGTTTTATTTGTAAATGCAATTGAAGAGGCAAACAAACAATAGAAGCAATCAATCCTTGTTTCGTTTAGTACTTGATCTTGTTTTGGSTGACAGAAGTCTCCAATCCAACATTAGCACCTGTGTTCTCATTATGTCCCTGCTAACCAACCTCCCTCTACCAGGTGAGCATAAAAAAAAGGAAAGAATGATCAAGAGTCCTCCATATGAGGAAGTCAAATCTCTCTCTCTCTCTATATATATATGGACCCAACTGATCAATGCAAGAGAGAGAGAGAGAGTAATAAATTTGGTCAGAAGATTAAGTTTGTGATCTTTGGAAGGACCTATAGCTAGATATAGTAGGACAGAGAAAAGTATGATAACAAGGGTAAATTATTGGGTGGGGAAAGACGTTGTCCCTAATCTTTTAGAATATGCAATAAAATCGTCTGAAAGTCATTAGGCCCAAATTAAAAGTTGAATTTTCTATTTGAAAGGGAGATCTGCTTACATAAGAAAAATCTAACCAAGGCCAAAAGGGGCCTAATTTCTCTTGCACGGGATCTGTTGGGGCTTTTTTAATTAACTTTCTTAGTATCCCATCTCCTTAATTGCTTCTTTCGGTGTTTATTATTATATATGTATTATTGAGGATTGTGGGGAAGGTTAAGATGTAGAGAGAGATGCTTGCAAGAATAAAAGCCGAATACCATACTACAACTTGAACAGGCTGACGCCCAACACAGCTCCCGGGGCGGTACCAAATGGACCAAGGGCTGTGGTGGTGGGGCTATCGGCTATGCTCCCTCAAAATTCTAGATTTCCAAATCAATGATGTCCCACTTAACACACAAAGTGATTATTAAGGGGAAAAAAAATCTTTTGTCTCTTCTACCCTCTATTGAAGTGGCGTTTAGTGTCTACTTGGTATTAAAAATATTTAATTAATAATTAATATAAAGCATCAAAAGCATCGGGAAGAGTAAGGCACCTAATTTGATTATTTTATAAATCATTCTTTTAGAAATGGTTTAGAAAATAAAATCATATAGTTTGTACCCTGGTGCTTGAAGAAACAATAACATCATATAATGTT